TAAAAAAGTAAATCAGAGCTAAAAAAGTGCAAAAACGCAGGCAAATTTGCCTGCGTTGGTCTATATATTAAGGGATAATAATTATAATAATTATAATAATTATATGTATAATTATAATAATTATAATTATAATAATTATAATTATAATAATTATAGCAGTAGAATAGTGGGCTTTTTAGATATACGGTTGTGTTTTTTTTGATAACACTATTCATTCTTGTTTTTTTTTCAAGTTTTTATTGTATTCTTGATAACTTATAAAACTTATATATAACATATAAAAAATTTACATAAATGGTGTATTTTTATATATACTTCATGCTTGGTGTACTTTTTTGATATCTATTTCAATTACTATTTAGCTTTCTATTACTAAGGAGTACACTTCCCTAAGGGTGTATGACGCAGTTGCGGAGTGAAGTGGAGCATAGTTATCATATTTAATTTCTATTAGTTTTTTGTACTGGAAGAGCATAGTGACTCCGAATGCGAAGCGTAGCGTAGCATTAGTTATCTGTTTAATTTACAATTAGTTTCTTAACACTAAAGAGTATATATCTTAGGTGTGAGCGAAGCAGTTGTGGAGCGAAGTGGAGCATAGTAATCTTTTAGTTATCAATTAGGTTTCTATGGTAAAAAAGATAGTTAAATTTTATTGTCTTGCAGGCCCGAAGGGTGACTCAAAGAGTCATAGGTGGTCTTCAAGCATCTGAAGTTGTCGAGTATAAAATTGCATAACATAATATCCTTTAAAATGTTTTTTGCAACGTCCACAAGCAGAAGCTGTAGGTTTTCCACAATCATCACATAAAACACGTTTTTTAGATCTCCAATATTCATGGCACCCTTCAGAACGTCGACACCCACGTCCGCAGACTTCTCCAGAATTGTGTATATATTCGCATGTATATTTATCTCTGACTTTTCGATATATTTACCTCCCTTGATATATTCACTAAACATTTCAATAAATGAATAATTATTTTTTATTTAAACAAAAGATCTGGTATTAATAAAAAACACTAAAAAACATATTACTATGGCTAAGATACTTAAATGTCCAGGTTGTGATCGAGAAATAAAAACTGGTAAAACTCGAGATCTTAATAAACACATGAATTTAAATAGAAACCTTCGTAAAGGACAATGCCAACCAGCTTTGCTTATAATGCAAAATGTAGGAAACGTTACTTCAGAGCAAAATACACCTCAAACTGAAAATGTTACTCCAGAGCAAAATCTGCCATCAACTCCTGAAGGTGATCTCATATTATTTGATGAAACCCATCAACACTTCAGCCAAGAGAGGCAAGTGCGTCGGCAGTCGACCCTTTAACTGATGATGTTCCAAATACAGAAGCAGGATCAAGTTCTAATACTCAAGAAGAACAAAAAAAGAAATCAATTTTAACAATAGATGAATTAATAAAATAGTTATCAAAGCCGGAAATAAAAAACAATAAAAAAATTAGATCAAAGCATATACCTAAAAATGATAAAGAATGATATGATTTAATGGAAATAGATAACAAAAAAGATAGTGAACCAAGTGATTCAGAATATGATACTGCTGAAGAAGAACCAGATATTCATTTCAAAAAAATTATAGATCCCTATATTAATAGAATAACAAAAGCTGAAAAATTAAATGAAGGCAAAGTATGTGATTACTATGCATTCATACCAAAAGGATACTATGCTGAAAATGAGCCTTTAGGTTTCTTTGAATCAATTGAAGAAAAGATTGTTAATGTTTACAAAAGAGAGTTAGCTTTAAAGGGTGGATTAAAGATAAGAATTGTGTTATATGCATATATGAAGAAAATTAAACCGGAAATACCAAAACCTATATATAAAACTTTTCCATTCAAGCATGAAACTATAGAAATAATTAGAGAAGATCGAATCAATGCAACTATAGAAAAAGGATATAATGAAATTATAGACCAGATTGAGGATGAAGCAATACAAGAATCAGGATAGTCATTTGTTCGAGCAGAAAAGATATTTCTCGAGACAAACGCATTCAGACCATTGCAAGGTAGTAGTTATCTACCTTTACCAGAAGCTTTAGATGAGCCAAAACTAGGAATAATTAATCCACAAAATAGGAACGATAATGAGTGTTTTAAATGGTGTATAAGTGCATATTACACAAAAGAGGAAGCAATAAAAGCTAATAGAAAGCTACCACATCTTAATGAAATCCAGAAACTTAAACGAAATGCAAATATAGCAAATTTTGAAGGTATAAAATTTCTAGCAACACTCCATGATATAGATAAATTCGAAGAAAGCAATCCTAATTATGCTATCAATATATTTAAACCATTTTATAGAGAAGCTTTCGGAAAAATAAAAGTAGATATAGATCCATTACATATTTCAGAACGTAATTATCAAGTAGAGCATATGATAGATTTATTATATTTAATAGAAGGTGAAGAGAGTTTAAATGATCGAAAAAATCAAAATGATATACCAGAAGGCTTAAAAACATATTATGTATATATAACAAATTTCGAGCGATTAATGTATAAGTGGAATAACCATCATGATAAAAAATACTTTTGCCGAAAATGGTTGCGATTTCTATATAGTCGATTAGATTTATTACAGAAATATATTCTTACATGTCCAGGTCCAAATAAGGCTTCATAATGTTTAATTCTTCCAGAAGAAGATAAGAATTATGTAAAACCCAAGTATATCAAAAACATGTTAATGAAACCTTATTTAATAACTATGGATTTAGAAGCCAAAGAAATTGAAGCAGATGAAAAAGATAAAGAAGAAAATACTAAAAAAAAAGCGGAGCAGATAGCAGTTTCATATGGATATACTATTCATTGTTCAGATAGAACAACGCAAAAACTAGTGATTAATCAAGAATCAGAAAATATAATAAAAAACTTAATGGAAAACCTTCAAGAAGATCTAGAAGTTATTTTAGATAAGTTTCATGAAATAGCTCCATGTGAAAAAATGACACCTGAATTATGGCGAAAATATCAAACTGCAAACAAATGTTAGATATGTGAAGAAAAATTACATGAAGCTAGATATAATAAAATTTGTGTATTTGATCCTGAAACCAAAAAATATTTGGGTGCTTTGCATAGAAAATATTACGGGAAAAAATTAATAATTCAAGGTAAGTTAGATGATAAGCAAAAAGAAAAACATAAATCTTGTAAGGTATGTTTGTATTGCAAAACGCATTTACCAGATGAGGAAAAAATAGAGTAATAGATTATGACCATATTACAGGAAAGTTTAAAGGACCAGCTCATAGTGGATGTAATTTAAAATTACGAATCGATCCAGAAACAATAAAAATCCCTGTACTAATTTGTAATAGAAGTGGTTATGATTTCCATTATCTTATGCAAGAAATAGCAAAAGTGACAGATGAAAAAATAGTGCCGATAGCAAATAATTTAGAACAATATATTACTTTCTCGGTTGGTCAACTTCAATTTATTGATAGTTTGAAATTTTCATTACCTGGTTTAGCTAAGATGGCAGAAAACTTATGTGATGAAAAGAAGGGCCAAACTAAAACACCAGAACAATTAGCAAAATGTTTTCCAATTATGTCAAAATTCATCTCACCTCATTTATTATTATTGCTTACACGTAAAGGAATATTCCCATATTAGTGGTTAACTAGTAAAAACAAATTCAAAAAAACGCAACTACCTCCTCGAAAAGATTTTAATAATGACTTGGATGAAGTAAATTATTGCGAGCAAGGATGTGAAAGCAAAGAATGTGAATATGAGAAAATTTACACAATAACTCAAAAGGACTATGATTTTTCTCATACAGTTTAGAAAGAAACTGCTTGTAAAACCTTTGGTGATTATCACGATATTTACCTCAAAACGGATGTTCTTATATTAGCAGATGCATTCGAGGCATTCTGAAAAGCTTCATATGAGGCATTCAAGTTAGATCCGGCAAATTATCTAACAGCTCCAGGCTTGGCGTGAAACGCTTGTATGAAGGTAACTAAAGTAAAACTAGAATTATTTAATGAGCATCAAGGGGATATGTATGACTTCTTTACAGCAATAAAAAGTGATGGAATGTCCTTAGCTAGAAGACGTATAGCTCGAAAAAATATTCCAGGATTAGAAGAGTACGATGCAAAAAAAAAAAAAGCAAAAAAATGGTTACTTTATCTAGATGCCACTAACTTATATGGTTGGGCAATGTCGCAATATTTACCAACTGGTAGATTTAAATAGCTATTAACAAAACCTTTGGATGCATCTCACTCTTTAGTGCAGAAAATTTTAACGATAAAAGAAAAATCAAATCGAGGATGTTGCTTAGAGGTTAAGTTATCAATTCCAAAGAATTACATCCCAAATTTCGAGACTATCCAATGTGTCCAGAACAAAAGAATGTACCATATGATTGGTATAGTTCAAACCAAAAAGAATGGGCAGGTAAACAACATTCAGATACAGAAAAACTTATACTAACTCTCCATGATAAGAACCATTATGTTATTCATTATAGAAATCTACAACAATGTATAAAGGAAGGATATGTTTTTGAAAAAGTATATCAAATTTTAGGTTTTGAACAATCACCATGGTTGGAACCATACATTGCAATAAATACTCAACGACGTGCAAAAGCAAAGAATGCCTTTGAAAAAGATTTTTGGAAATTGATGAACAACTCAGTTTTTGGAAAAACTATGGAAGATGTTAGAAAACAGGTAAATATTGATTTAGTTAGGCAGGTAGGAGAAGAACGTAGATTACGAAGACTAATTTCAGATCCAGTATTTGTTAGTCAAAAAATTTTCTATAGGGCAAACTTAGTAGCTATGCATCAAAGACAGACTAATGTAAAACTAAATAAGCCAGAATATGTAGGGGCGTGTATTCTTGATCTTTCCAAATACTTTATATATGATTTCTGGTATGGTTATCTCAAAAAGAAATATGGAGATCAAGTAAGGCTTTTATATACAAATACAGATTCTTTAATCATAGAAATTGAAACTGAAAATATTTATCAGGACATGATCGATAATTGTGATTTATACGATTTTAGTGACTATCCAGAAGATCATTGGCTAGTAAAAAATCTTCCAGAAGATCAGTGGATAATCAATGAAGAAGGTAAGTGTGTCTTAAAAAAATACTAAAGTTATAGATAAGTGGAAGGATGAAAATGGGGGAGATCGAGCTATTGGCTATGCGGGAGTTCGTGCAAAATACTATAGTGTTGTGTGTGTAAAAATTTAGGAAAAAATATAATAAAAGCAAAAGGCCTAAAAAAATTACTTATCAAAAGAGAGTTTACTCATAAAATATTCAAGGACTGTACTTTAGAGGGAAAAGAGAATCAACCACGAACTGCACAATTCCTCCAAAGTTACAAACATCGAATGTATAAAATAAAGCAAACAAAAAGGAGCATTAACCCACTAGATACAAAATTGTGGATAGATCAAGATGGGATTACAACATACCTATATGGTGATTGTGAAATTCCAGAAGAATAAATATATATAGCTTTGCTACATAATGCTATGTATCAATTTTTGACTTGACTACTTAATTTCGGAGAAATATATACCACATATAATTAGTAAACTAAAATAAAATTTTCAAATTAAAAGATAAAAGATTATTTAATAAAATCCACATATTTGATATATACAATATAACATGCATATATTCAACTCATTTACACTTTCAGAAACCATCGCTAAAATCGTCCAAAAATGCTAACAGAAGATCTAAATGACTGTATTTATATTAATCGCATATGGTATAAAGAAATTTGTCATGAACTTTATAAAAGGCGAAAATACTTTAATATAAAATACCATAATTTATTAGAAAAATTAGACAGATGCTATAGAGGATCATATATAAATGATAATGAAATTGAGCCCATATATAATAATGCATTGACAATATTTGATGAGCTCGTAAAAGTAGAAAGATATTTATTAAATAATAATATAATCTTCAGTAAAAGAATTAGAAATGCAATATTGTCAAATATTGAAGACTATAATTATGGAAACCCTTTAGATTCATATAATTTTGGAGAAGATATATTTGAATATATAAAATATCTAATGTAGAGAGAAGAAAGCTGACTTACCCATCTGCCATATATATTTTTTCAGTTGGCTATTTGATCAACTTCACATTCAAACACATTCTTTGATTACGGATAATAAAAATGTATTACGTAAAAATCGGTTAGTCCAGATTGTAATCACAAAATTAAATCATATCACGTTATAATGAGCCTCGGGAACGATACATGTGTAAATCCAACATAAGCAAATCTTAGTCTGGGTCACGATCTATTAAATCACATGAGGTAGCGATATTATGTGTGTTTTGGATGAATCGATCAATCGCCATAAAATAATACCCGAACTTATCATGTTTTTGCTCAAACTTTCTAGCATATTCTCAGTAGTATATACATAGTAGACTCTTTAGGTCATGATTCGGAGAATCGCCTAATGGCTTGCTCAGCAATACTTGGCCTATATATCGAAGTTGCTATAAAAGTTTTTATATTATAAAGAATGATATGTTAGTCTTGCTACTTCTACTAATAAAATAGGATAAATTTGTCAATGATCGATTATACATACTTGAAGTGGTAAAATTATATCTAATGTCTAACCAAAAATTGAGTAGCATTATGAAAGTCAAATTCTAAATAAGATCATATATCGCTCTAATGTTATTTCAGAAGTCAGTTATTAATTGTATGTGATGGTTATCGTTGTAATTGTAAATATTCATCAGATATACTAGTTTTAATAAATGTCACTTATCTTACTCAGCGTTACCCAGACCATGTATTGTTAAGTCTCTAGATCCAGATCTTCATTCTCAAAATCGGAATTTACACTATGTTTTTGAAGATAAATCAATAATAACGTGATAATAACGTAATTAATATTTTTTTCCAGTATGTTCTGACCTTTACTAACAGAGACAACGAATCAGATTCTAAGTCATGAAATCTTGTATAAAAAGGATCCAAAAATCTTTAGTCATTCCTTCTATACTCTTATTAGTAATATCTGTAAAAATAAACTATTTAATAAGCTTTCGCATCTCGTACCTAAAATAATAATATTTTTCAGCATAGTAATCTCACTAAGAGCAACAAAATAAACTTCACTAATTTTACCTGTTTCACATGAATTTTGAGTTGCATATTTGCTGGGTTATTATCCATGCTTGTGTATCTATACTAATAATTTTTTTTCCCATTATAGATATGTCTTCGGTTAATGTTTCAGAAGTTGTCACATTTTTGGCCTTTGTGTGCCTATTGATGTTTGCTGAGAAAATTCCTGTCTATCTGATTTTTGTTGCCACATGCTTCACCACGTATGTTGTCAAACAACAACTTACCGGAATTCAATGCACAAGTGAAAAGATTAACTGCGGATCTTACAACACGGGATGCCACATTTGTTGTCGAGGGACAAAGAATTCTGACAATAGTAAATACTGTAATTGAAACTGTTAATGAAATCACCACCAATTATGAATCCCTTTGTGACCAGTTGGACCAAATAACTGAGATGGGTTCTGTGGCACCATTAATATCTGAACAATTTGCTGGCCCATCCGTATCTATGTCCAATTTTTCTCAAAGATCTTCTGGTTTTTCTTCAGGATCTTCTGGTTCTTCTCTGGGTTCTTCCAGTAGCTCAAGCCAATTATCATTTTCTGATATTACTTCAATGGCCAGAAATCACTTTAAAATTATTTTTGATAAAATTATGACAGAAAATAATTATTCTTTAGATGATATATGTAATA